TTTCACAATGATGGACATTTGAATTCAAGATGAACATTGTAATTTTATAGGATGAATATTGTACCTTGCTCAGTGAATAACTGAAAAGCTTTAATAAATTTTCAATTTAATACCAAACTGTGCAAAAATTCTGATGTGTTTTTGAATTGTTATCAAGATGTTTGGAAGTAAACACACTAACACTAACACCACAAACCATTTTTTTCATATAAAATAGATGTAAATCAATTAGGTTTGGGGTTTAAGCATTTCTGTGTCGGTTAGGGTGTAGTAGTTTAGGGTTTAGGGTGTTTAAGCATTTTCGTGTCAGTTAGGGCCTAGTTGTTTAGGGTTTAGGGTTTAGCATTTAGGATTTAGGATTTAGGGGGTTTAGGGTTTAGTGTTTAGCATTTATGGTTTATAGTTTAGGGGGGTTTAACCATTTCAGTGTCGGTTAGGGCCTAGTTGTTTAGGGTTTAACATTTAGGATTTAGGATTTTGGGGATTTAGGGTTTAGGGTTTAGTGTTAAGCGTTTATGGTTCATAGTTTAGGGGGTTTAACCATTTCTATGTCGTTTAGGGCCTAGTTGTTTAGGGTTTAGGGTTTAGGGAGTTTAAGCATTTCCGACTCGGTTAGGGCCTAGTTTGTGCAGTAAGGCGATTAACTTTTAAATTTTTAAAACCAATTAAGCCAGGATTTTAAACCAATTAGCCTAATTATTTTTAAACCTAGCCTAATTAGTTTAAAAAAAATTTAAACCGAAAAATTTTTTATTAGCGTGTTTAGCGTTTAGGGTTTAGGGTTTAGTGGGGGTTTAAGCATTTCTTTATCAGTTAGGGCCTAGTTTTTTAGGTTTAGCATTTAGGGTTTAGCGTTTAGGGTTTTGCCTAGTTGTTCTTCAACAAATTATGTATTATTTCTCCATCGACCAGGATCTAAGATTGTCGTTCAAATTGATGATTGTGTTTAACATGATGAGCATTATAGTTTAATAGGATGAACATACATGATTTTATTTTATTTTTTTTACAAACAAGACTGGTTTTTAGATGAACATTGGAGTTAAACAGGATGCACATTGTATCTTGTGCAATGAACAACAGGAAATCTAAATAAACTTTCAGTTCACAATTTGCAAAAAAAAATTTCAGTGATTAATAATGAATTTTTAACTTTCAAAGTGATTGAGGACATCTCAAACATTTCAGCAGGACTCACATTATCATTTTCCGATAACTACCTAGTCAAATATCTACAAACTCCTATTCTGATAAGTCAAAAACTCCTATTCTAGTTTTCCGATAACTTTCTGCCCTATACATTTTCAAGATAAAGTTCATTGATTTTTTCTTCAAGCTCTAGATACAAGATATTGGTTCTTGATTTCATGATCTCAGCTAGATATCTCATCCTCAATCCGTAAGACGATTACTCAGGCTATCTTTTTTCCTCTGTTTAAAAGGGTCGAAAAGAGAAACAGAAACCAGAACAAACACAATGTGAGACCAACTAAATGTTGAAAACAATAGGAAAGATTTCAAATGAAATTGTTTTACCCCTGTTGAGGCAGCAGGAAAAAGGCCACAATTGTAACCATTTGTTGTTTACAATGTACTGGAAAGATTAATTGCAAATACAGGATGAGCATTGTATCAAACAGGATGAGTATCATATAAAACAGGATTAGCATTGTATTTAACATGCTGAGCAAGACACTCTCAGAGGATGAACATCATAGGATGAACAATAATCCATACGAAATGAGCAAGACATTCTCTGAGGATGAACATCACAAGATGAACAATAATCCATATGAAATGAACAAGACACTCTCAGGAGATGAACATCACAGGATGAACAATAATCCATATGAAATGAACAAGACACTCTCAGAGGATGAACAATCATATATTTTAAATGAACAACTCATCATCATAGGATGAACATCACTTGTTGGATCGTTTGACTCTCGCGCTTCATTTCTTACAGGTTTAATTATCATTCTTCTGTTGTAACAATTGGTGGTTGAACATCAGCAATCTTAAAAATAGGAGGAAAGACGAATTTTTGCCAGAGAAATAAATAACAACAAGCAAGGTCGCACTGAAAAAGTTGAGATCTACGAATATTCGACGAAGAAATTAAAAAATTGAAGAAAAAAACTCACCAGAGTCTATGAATTTTGCAGAGATATGTCGCGGAAATGATGAAATGGAACGAATATATGCAGATTTGAACACAAAGATTCGCCAGAATGAAATTTTGAAGATTTTGAGTGAATTTCACCAAAGGGAGTAACGATGAGAGAGAAATTTGGGCAAAAAGATCTCTCTCTCTCTCTCTCTCTCTTTTTTGTTTTGCATAAAATAAGCCTATTTATATTAATTTTGTGCAGAAGTAATTTTGTAATTTATGGGAAGTTAAATGCAAGTGGGGCTGTATTGAGCGCGTGATAAGGGAGCTCTGGGTGCCCCATATATTAACTGTACAATTTATATTGTAGTGATGCTAGACAATCAATTTATGACATTCCAAAACTTTTTTCGAGGTTTTTAAATATTTTCATTGTTCAATGTTAACACTTATATAGTGAAAATGCATTATGACTGATGCGTACATAATAATTAGAGCTAAAAATGTAATTTCAAGGGATAAAAAAATAAAATTTCTATGACAATGTAACAACAAAATAAATGGTACACATCAGTCACTATTTTTTATCTCTATTTTTTTTCACTATACACTTTCACTACACATATCATTTTCCTATCATAAATTTGCAATTACTCAAAAATTAAAATAACCTGTGCAACACACGACTTAAATCCAGTTGCTAAAAAAAATTGATCGAATTGGATGAGAGCTTATGCAAGAAAATTTTTCGCTTGGTATATTATGCAAGAATATTCAAACGAATCATGTGTCTCTATTAGGGTGCAAATGTTACACTAAATCGTCAAATTTGTTTAGGTATTTTGGAGGGGTTTTGGTAATTGTGTATGAACCTTCAGTTCATTTAGTAATTTTCTGAAACTCTGAGGGGCAGCAACGATCTGTTCTTCAATTTTATTTTTAGGTCCTCCTACTCCAAATATATTGGGGTAAATGAAAAAGATTACATGAATTTTTCATTGTAAAGAAAGGTGACACTTGTAGTGGTGGGTGGGCCAAGGATTGTTCTACAAACAAACATCATAAGCCATTCTTCTTGTGAATGCTTAAAAATTGGGGGACTTTTTAAATCATTGCATTTGCTCTCTCTATCATCATCAACCACCCTTTTAATCCTTTCTTACCTTTGAGGAGGGGATCCTATGTCCCTTCTTCCTTTCTCAATTCTTCCAGTTTCATCATCTTCAACCTGCTGCGACTTCCCTTCCACACCTTGCTTATATATCTCTATCTTATTTGTCTCATAAAGCACTAATCTTTCTGGTTTCAGCTCAACTTGTAAGTGGCTAGTTCTTTTTCCTCTTCCTTTATTGTTCCCCCTTCTTTTCCTTTTTTTTACTTCTAGTTGTTGAATTTGGTAACATGGGAAGTTAGTTACAGATCTTGGATTTTGAAGGTTGTGATGAATTTGGGATCTTTTTGGAATCCTTTGTTGTTGATTTAATTCTGGGTTTTTCTTAACTCTCTGTTTTTGTGTTATCTTTTCTTTCCATGTTTTCTTAAAAACTGAATCTGTTTCTCCCTATTTTTGGCGTTGGATCAATTTGTTTCTCTGCAATTGTTATAGCTGTTTTGGCAGTCTTTATTTTGAATCACTCCTAATTTTTCTTTAGGTCCAATTTCCCTCTTGAGTTTCCCGGGTTTTGTTTGCATCTAGTTCGGGGTTCGAGAGCTATTTGAATTCGATTTAGCGCTAATGAGTTCCACCGTTTCACTTTAATATGTATATGGAAATTCTATGATGGGTGAAATGAATTTCTAAAGAATTTACAGTTGAATTAGATGGACGTGTATGGCCTGAAAATATTCACTTCTTAAGCAAAATTGTGCTTTATCTGCCTTTCAATTCAGTTTCACGTTGTTTCAAGGCTGTTCTTTTCTTCAAGATGATTACCTACCCCTATCCCTTGCTTGCTTGCTTGCTGCTCATTCATATCCTGAATATTTAGCTTGAGACATTAATTTTCTCGTTATTTCATATTTCCAACTGCTCATTAGATCAATTCATCTTCATATGGTGATGAAAAACGAGCTTCATTTATTGATCAGTTGAGGAACCCTTCTTGAAATAATTAACACGTCTTAAATTCGCTTGAAGGTTTTCATACTAAGTTTTTCATTAGAGTGTGTGTATGGTTTGCTGCACACAAATGAGCCACATTACTCTTTCTTGTTTGTTGAACTGTCATCTGCCTTTTCCGTTCTTCCATGAGAGTAAATCGAGTTGAAGTACAAGAGGGAATTATGCTTTTGGTTTTTCTAGTCGGTGTGGGATAATGATAAGGGAGGCTAAGTTTCCATAGAACTAAGTCCAAAACTTGAAGGATTTCCTTAGTAACAAAAAGGAACTTTGTACACTCAGTTTATGGATGAAAAAAAATCTGATCTTGGTGAGCTTATTCGCTCAGGAGAAAGGGACATTGTGAACTTTGTTATCTAATGAACTAAGTAGGGTTCAGTGGCCCCAACACACAAACTTTGATCTGTTATAGGGAGTTTTAGTTCGAATGGCTTGCTTTGAAGCATCATGAAATTTTATAGACTTTGGATTGCTCAAAGTGAGATGTCCTGCATGTAACTTGAAGTTGTGTTCAAGAATTTTTTTAAATCTTGGTGGAGGACTTCCACAAATAACAGAAGCTGAAGGAATTTTACTGTTAAGAACTGTGAGTTTGTTCTTGCGCATGCAAAACATTTCTTCAACCATTTAAGCCTTTTATTTTGGAAATGTACATTAAAAGGGGTTTGCTTTGTTTATCCTTGCCTTACAGCCTGATTGTGCAGTGGCAAAATTCTCTCTCTTTTCCAAACTCTAATTCTGATATATTTTTTGTCTAGCAGATCAGTCATGGGTCTCTCACCATACTCAACTCCATCTGATGGGGGAGTGCTCTGCGTAATCTTGGTTAATACCGCTATATCAATCTCAATCTTCAAGGAAATATTTCGTTCGATTCTTCATGTGGTTGGCATCAATGTTGCATCCTGGGAAGATTACTCCCTTGACGATACCTTGGACTCATTAGAATGCCGGGGAACCCCCTCAGAGTCATATATGGAAGAATTCCGGAGTAGAACTCCAGCAGTTCGTTATGATTCAATCCTTAGATGCAGTAGCTTCTGTCACGAATGCCCTGTTTGCCTTACAGAATTCGTGGCAGACTCCGAGATAAACCACCTCTCTTGTGGTCACATGTTTCACAGGATGTGCCTGGAGAAGTGGTTGAAGTATTGGCATGTTACTTGCCCCCTTTGCCGTAATTACATCATACCTCAAGAAGAGGAAGAAAACAGTTGCCCCATGTGAGCTTCTCCTCTTGTACAGCAGCACAGTAGTGTATAAAAAAAGAGCCAGTGTTTGCGTCCTTCATGGTGACGGGCCATTGCGGCCAAGATTAATACTGTACATAGTCTTCTAGTAAGCTTGTTGCTTCTGACAAACTTGAGCTTTCTATCTGGTTTGTTGCAACCCATGTGTTGATTTTGATCTTCCTTAACTGTGACTATGAGCATGCTGTGCATTTTGCTATTAGTTTAACCTCTTACCAGATTGAAAGATTGGTACTCCGTTAGATTGAGGCACAGGTTTCAGAAAGTCAGGCATCTGAACTAGTTGCCTTCTCAGGGCCGTTAAGAAAGTTGAATCCTCATATTTTGGTATGTTTCATACAACATGAACCATGAACAAAGGCTATTAAAAGAGCTATCGGATAATTCAGAAAATCCTTGTTTCAGAACATCTGTGCATTAGGAATTCCATTGCATTCTGGATTCACATAATCAAGAATAATGAGCTGCAAAATATGGCCTTTTGCGACACCTTCTGCTGGCTGCGTAGCTGGCGAATACAACAGATTTAATGCAAATCAGTAGAAGAACACTTCTGAAAGAAATGATCCATCAACTGAAAGTCACGAGTAATTGGTACAGAGAAAAGGTCTCTAACGAAAAACTTACTACCAAAATATTAACTTACTACCAACCCACCAAAAAGCCTTTCGTCCTATTGACATAAAACAACACACCACAAAAACTGAGCAGATCAACAACCTAAAAGGAAATAAAATCAAACATTGTCCTTAAACCCTCCACAAGGACTACAACACAGCATTAACCTAATTTGAGTCATATTTAACATAGGCTAATCATGCTAACGTAGCTGGAAACAGAAAGGGCAATGCAAACTCATTGTCGTCGTCGTCGTCGGGCGACAGACACGTCTTCACTTGATTTTGCCAGTTAGCTCGGAGAGTTTGGCGCCTACGGACATGCTGTTTCGGGTCATGCTGGCTGACCTGTGATATCTGCACCGGAAAGACCCTGCGTGTGTGGTTGGTGAACACAAACAATTGTACTTGACACTTGATGTTTTCCTCAAGGAGGACATTGGTGATGTTGGTATTGAGTTTGCTTCTCTTGATTGACTGTTCTTCACTGTTTCTAAACAGATATGAGGCATCACAATCTTCTGCTTCTCCACATGTTCCCCTGTTCTTGGTTGTTCATCAGCCATTCTTCCTTCCCTCCTTCCCTATTTCTGTGTTTTTTTGGCCCCCCAAAAAAATAAACTCAGATGGATTTCACAAACAATACAACAATTTCTCATTGATTAAGAAGTTTATATATTTAGAGTTTCTTTTGTGATTGGATTACATTATCCAATGAGTGGATATCAAGAACATTGATTTCGGTTCAATCCAAAAAACGATATAGCATTCGTGTGTAGTTAGGAGATTTTGAAAGTACAATTCAAGTACAATTCCAAATACGACTATCATTCACAAACTTACCTTTTCAAATAAAAAAAATACGACTATCATTCACAAAGTTACCACAAACTCAAAAATAGAATTTCAGGACATAGGAGATAATGCACAATCTTAAACTAAATCCAATCAAATTTCGAAAGAATTTCAATTAATACAAACAACATTAGATGGAAACTACTGGAGACGCAAATAAATTTTCAACGTAATATTTTTCGGTACCACAAAAGAGGTCATAAATCAAATGGATCAAACAAAAAGTTTAGGAGACACCAATCAATTTATACTCTAACCACGGTATAATATCAAGTGATGGATCAATTCAACACTGCTTTTTTCACATTTCTTGGAAGAAACTAAATTGAGATTTTCATCATCTTTTGGTTCTAAAAGAATTCAAAATAACATTTTTCTCTTCAAAACATATAATACACTTTTCCTTCAATTTCCTTCAATGCTGGTAAATTAAAACCAAAATAGTTTTTGTTTTGAATTGGAGTATGCATTATAAATGTATGCATGAATGAATTGAAAACCATGCGTTGGGTATATATATGCAAGAACAATATCAATATGTACTGCAAACTCATCCGGATTATTTTAAAACAAACATTGATACCTAATTAGCGATTGACAAATAAAATTCTAAAAGTAATTAGATCAGCAATTTACCTGGTATTCTAAAGATAAATTTTATACAGGATAAAAAGCGGCAAAGAAGCAGCAACTGGATATTTCCCGTTTTGTTCTTAAAGATAAACAATTTAGGGAAACAGTGGAGAAAGATTTTGCATCGTTTTCTTTGGGATTTTGTTTTAGTTTGTTTTGGGTATTGTTTTTTCCCACTCTTCTCCTAACTAATTGTGAGACAGCAAGGCTCCGTCTTTGACTCCTTCCCAATTTCCTAATCTGAGGTTAAGGTTAATACTTAGTTTTACACCTCAAATTAAAAACTTAATTCTGTGCAATTCTCGAAGCATGTAAATTTGGAGGAAAATATGAATACATATGCCCTGCATAGCATAAAAGGAATACTCCATCATCCTTCCAATCTTAGCAATAGTAATTTTAGTTTAATTTTGAAAACTAAATTCAAGAAATTAGAATATGGTAATTTTAGTAAATTCAACCAACTAGTAGTATTACCAAACGAATAAAATACTCCCTAAGTATTTAAAAAAATAATCCACACTGCATTCTGAAATTTGTACGGAAAACAACAAAAATTTCAATACTTAGACAATGCACAAATTTTATAAGTCTGATTTAGATTTGAAATGTAAAATTTAGATTACTAAGATAAGATAGATGAAGTTCATTTTTTACATGCATTCATCATAGTTTTAGTGTATAATCCAATCAATGTATGCACACTTTTTTTTCCCAAAAAAGATAAAAACTTCATTACATTTAATAGAAATAATGCATCGTTGATTGGAACGAGAAGTTTGGCAATAATTGTCCAGATATACAACATCATCAAATTTAGACTTAGTAGGACTTGGCAGAAGGATGAAGGAAGATGTGCGTACACCATTCTATCTAATCCTCCCTATACTTTGTCCCGCCTTGACTCGGGCTAGTTGACATGCTACAATTATAACAAAGAACAATATAGAACATCATACAAGTAAAGATATCTTACACTTTTTTAAAGTCTAAGATTGTGATAAGCGGTCGTTACACTAGCCAAATATTAATTACCTACTTAATACAATTACTAATAATAAAGCAGAAAGCATGGTCGATCCCACAGAGAAGGAATACTAATTACCAGGTATAAATTACTCCTATTATTATCTAGATAAATGAGGATATCAGATTTATAAAATTTAAAACTAAAATAAATAAATAAAATAAAAGCAAATAATATTAATTCAAATAATCAGACAAAGAAAACCTAGAACATTGGGTTCACCTACCGAATATTTGGTTTAGTTCAATTCACAAATATCTGACTTTTAACTTCCCTTAATCTCACAACGATTCACCTAATTAAGAACGATACACTCTCGTGTTATAATTCTCTTACTTATATTAATCCTATGACTACTCTCGTGACTATAGGGATTAACAAAAGCACATTAAGACTATTAAGAATCAAATATTGCAAAGGTTATAATCTTACTCTCGTAGCTTACACCCTAAGTTTATTATTCCTACGAACTAATACTAATCTTCCACTCTCGCTACTTCGATTAGTATCTTCAGACATGCAAATAGTGGCCAATTACTTACACGAATTAAAACAAGAATAACAAATATTAATTAATGGAAAAATCAAATAATAATGAACTAAATAAACCAAATAAATTCGGTGGCTACACCCAAACCCTAGATTTTAAAAGAATTTAGCCACTAAACATTATCAAAAATAATTCAATAATATTTAGAAACATCATCCTTTGAAATTTAATAAATAAAACAAAAGCAATAAAACCCGGAAAACTCCGTCGAAACCGAAAGCATAAATCAATTCAATTCAAGGCTTCGGCTTGCTTCGGTTCTCTGCGTTTGAAAGCTTTTCTCCTCAGTTGCTGGACGTTCAAGGCGGATGGTGTTGATGCGTAAGGTGATGAGATGGTAAGCTGCTGGTTCGGTGATGGAAAGGTAGAAGCAGGGTGGTGATGATGTGCGAAGGGTGGACTTGGCTGCTTGGTGGTGCGTGGATGTGATGGAGAAGAGGAAGAAGTTGGTGCTGCGTGTGTGATGATGGAGGAGAGGTGGTGGTTATGGAAGCAAGGTGGTGGTGATGCTGCCGGTGAAGGAGGAGAACCTCGGTTGGTGCAGCAAGGAAGTGGAGGTGATCGGCAAGGAGGAAAGAAGGTGGACAGCGGGGAAAGTGGTTTGCAGCCCTAAGGTTTTCGGCCAGTTTTTGGTTCAGTTCTGTTGTAAAAATAAATCCCTAATTCTCCTTTTATAGGCTTCCGGCTAAACCCTACTTCTTGAAGAGCAAGAAAACTTGTTTCCCAAATAATATCGGGATTAAAATTCTTATCCAATTCCAATCCCAAATCAGCCGCACCATCATCGTTTGTTCGGCCAATTTCCAAAAACTAAAAATAAAATTCTAAAATTGCATCATCGGCCCTCCAATTCTCTAAACTCATTAATTTCTTCCCCATCAATTGCTCCAATCTTCAATTCTTTCCCATTGAGTTGCTTTTAATTCGATTTTAGCTCAAAACTTCAACAATTCTTTATTTGAGTACAAATCCTACAATTAAAGATAAAATCACATAAATAGCATATTTGTACTCAAAATATATTGCAAAAATCACAAATTAGGGATATAATAAATAGGTAAAACAAAAGCATATCAAATACCCCTAAACTTAAATTATTGCTTGTCCTCAAGCAATCCCAAATATTAAACAAGCAAAAACATTTAATTATTTAATTTGGCGGCCTCAGAGATTCAATCACATCATATAACACAAAGATTTCGACTACCTCTAGTATGCAAACCATAGCTACTTTTAGCCCCCACGCTTGTGTGTGTGTGCTTCGTTTTTTAGGGACATCACTTTATATTTAACAT